TCAATTTAGTCATTTCATTTAATTACAATTTCAATTTAATTTCAAAATTTAATTTAACACACATTCTTTTTTGTTGTATTTGTTATTAGCCTTAATTTTGCACTAAGTGAAAATTGTCATCTTCGATTAATGTCTCATATTTACCACCTAAATGTTAAATTTTCAAATTTAACATTTGAGCGCATCAGTATTAATATTCAAATTTAATATTTAAGCATATCAGTATTAATATTCAAATTTAATGTTTGAGCATATCAGTATTAATATTCAAATTTAATATTTAAGCATATCAGTATTAATATTCAAATTTAATATTTAAGCATATCAGTATTAATATTCAAATTTAATGTTTGAGCGCATCAGTTTTAATATTCAAATTTAATGTTTGAGCGCATCAGTTTTAATATTCAAATTTAATGTTTGAGCATATCAGTATTAATATTCAAATTTAATATTCAAGCATATCAGTATTAATATTCAAATTTAATGTTTAAGCATATCAGTTTTAATATTCAAATTTAATATTTAAGCATATCAGTATTAATATTCAAATTTAATGTTTGAGCATATCAGTATTAATATTCAAATTTAATATTTAAGCATATCAGTATTAATATTCAAATTTAATATTTAAGCATATCAGTATTAATATTCAAATTTAATGTTTGAGCGTATCAGTTTTAATATTCAAATTTAATGTTTGAGCGCATCAGTTTTAATATTCAAATTTAATGTTTGAGCGCATCAGTTTTAATATTCAAATTTAATGTTTAAGTGTATCAGTATTAATATTCAAATTTAATGCTTAAGCATATCAGTTTTAATATTCAAATTAAATATTTTAGCGTATCAATTTTAATATTTAAGCGTATCAATTTTAATATTCAAATTTAATATTTTAGCATATCAGCAATGAAATGAGAAAATCTATCAAAAAGTATCCGAAAAAAGAATTCAATTTCTTTTTCTCTTTCAAATCTTCCTTTTCTTTGTTTTTTTCGACTTATTGAATTTTAATTAAAAATGTTTTAGATTATCATCGAAATTGATCATTGCAACTGAGAAAATTTCACGAAGTAACAAAATGATAAAAGTTCAATTTTTGAATGCTGAAGAATTTAATATTAGCTTTTAAATTTTTTTGCTCATTTATCTTCAAATGCTTTGTCACCTTCAATTTCAGGTTTTAGATTTATCCTTCAATTTCAGGTTTTAGATTTATCCTTCAATTTCAGGTTTTAATTTTTTAATTTTATTTACAATATCTTTTCATTTCATTTAATCGTTATTTTTCGTTTCTATCGAAAGCTTTCAAATCGCATACAAACTAAAAATTATTGCTGCAAGCATTTTGCAAGGAAAAAAGAATTTGAATTTTAATTGAACAACTTCTCAACTGATTTCTACATCGTTACCTTCCATCAAAATATTTGCTATTAAAGGTATACTAATTAATACCGAAAGTTCAATAAATCACCACAATCCATAAAACATTTGCTATTAAAGGTATACTAATTAATACCGGAAGCTCAACAAATCACTACAATCCATAAAACTATTGAATAACTTCTAATCAAATAAAAATTTGTTGAGAAATTTAATTGAAAACTTGATTTTTTGCAATTTATTTTTTGGATAAACATACTTGGATATATTTATCATTGCTGATATACTACTGATATGCTTATCAGCAACCACTTCATTAGCTCTATCATTCTATGAAATTTTAGTTAAAAATCCTTTAATTCCTTCGTTATAGACAGATTTTAGATGTTCCATTATCAGAAGCTTATCGTTAATATATGTAACAAAAAGTATTAAAGCAATCAGTTTTTCCTCTTCCAATCGATTTCCCGCAATTCAACAACGAGAATTATGATTGGGGAAATTAAAATTCAAATAACAAAAACTAATTATATGAAACTGAAAGTTGCATAAGATAAATTAAGCGTTAAAATCGTTTGCAAATTATTTCCAATTATTAAATATAATTTTATTTAATTATGAAAATTAAAAATATTTAGGAATTATTGAATTATTTCAAAATTAATAAAATCATCATATTTTGCATATTTTCATTTTTATTTGACAAAATTTTTCATTACTATTCATATACCTTGCGGATATCTCTCTGAAGGTAATCAATCTCTTTCTCTTAATTCTTCATGTTTTAGTTAAAATTGCTTCAGTTAGAATCAAATCTATTGATTACTTCAGTTAAAATTATATCTATTGATTACTTCAGTTAGAATTATATCTATTGATTACTTCAGTTAGAATTAAATCTAATTCATTGATTGCTAGACCTACAGTGATAATGAAATAGATAAAAGAAAGTTAGAACACCACTGAAGCATATTATTATCACTGTCATACATATCATTGTTACTGTTAACAAGCATATCATTATCACTGTCATACATATCATTGTTACTGTAACAAGCGTATCATTATCACTATCATGCATATCACTGTTATTGTTAACAAGCATATCATTATTACTGTCATACATATCGCTGTTACTGTTAACAAGCATATCAATGTTATCATTTTAGGATAAGTAAGAAAAAAAACGATATCCCTTAAAAATATTTTCCATTGAATGGAATGAAATAATAAACTATATAAAAGTTGAAATTTTCAAAATATTTCTTAAAACATTCTAACTTTTATATTTGAGAATATTCTTTAACGCATCTCTCTCTTTCTTTCTCTCTCTTTCTCTCTCTCTTTAATTTCATATTTTTATATTTTAATTTTTTTTATCAGCAAACTTGCTAAATCATTAGAAATATTCTTTTATTTTAATATCTATTTCATTATGCAAATTTTTTGTAATTTTTGAAAAAGTATTTAAATCGATAATTTAATTCAAACTTACATAAATTTATTATATTTAGTTGATAGTGTAAAAAAGCGCTGCAACTTTTGCTTGTAATAATTTAATTATTTCGTTATCAGTTGCTTTATCAAAAGAATTTTATTGATTTATTTACTGATTTGATTAGATTATGATTTTTCTTCGCTTTCCATACTGATATCTTCCTGACTTATTTTAAAGTTCCCAAAAATATATCCAAGAGTTATTTTCCTTTTATGATACACATGTTATGGAATATTATAGTTTATCACGTATAATTAAACATGAATGAGAATCTTGCTATCCTTTAATCATTTAAAAATAGAATAAGTAATTCTAAAATGTTTGTTGATATTTTAAAACTATTAAGGGATCAATGATAATAATTTGTTTAATTGAATTATACACCTATGGTAAACAAATTGCGCCAGCATTAATGTTAACATTAACTGCTATTACAACTATTTCTATCTTATTATGTGAGACAAAGAAAAATACAACGAAGAAACAAAAAGGTATTATTTTACTAATTTCATGCAAATTTCATCATAATTAATTTTCGTTACCACAATCTTGCGACATTCATCACTAACGATATTCACTTCGCTACTAGAAGAATTTTGCGACGTTTTTTAAAGTGAGAAAAATTAAGTAATGAATATAACATTAAATTGATTAATCTATTCTTTATGATTATAATCCTCTTATTTTTGAATATTGGAATTTTAAATTTCAAAATTTTGAAACAAAAAATTTTCCGAAAAAAAGATAAAAGAAATTTAAAATGATAACTTAATAATATGATTAACAATGTTTATTTATCATAAGTACATCTATTTTGATCACATTCTTTAATTATCATAATTTATTATCCTATGGATGTTGTAAAAGAGTATTACAGAGAGATTTAATATTAATTTCATTAATAGCATCAATTTTGAAATCTCCTAATTTTCGCTTTCTTTTTGATGAGTGCAAAACTGTTGTAGATCATCAATCGCTTAGGTAAAAAAAATTGTCTTTTGATATATCTGTTATGATAAGAGAATCTGATAAGTGATAAATGAAGCTATTAATTATAATTCGGTGATGATATGATAACGATAACTGAATAGATTCATCGAATAAAGAATTAGCATTAATTAATGCGCAAGTTACGGATATTCCCAATGAACGAAATAAAAAATCACCATTAATTGATATGCAAGTTACGAATGTTCCTAATGGACGAATATTAACTTGTACTCCGTTAGTTTCTATTTTCAGTAATTTCATTCTTTTTACTCTTGACAAAGTCATCGAGCTAAATGTCTCCAATCCGATAGCACATAAACTAAAACAATTAGCAAAATCGCTTCAAAACCTGAAACGGAAGTTCTTTCGTTTACTGAAAATTATTCAGCGAGAAAAGAATAAATGTGAAATTTAAATAATTGAATGATTAGAAGTGAAAGAATTTAATAATTTTTCACAGATTATTTAATGAATTATAGAATGAGTGAAAATTTAAATTTGGTTATTAAAACAATTCCAATTATTTAAATTGATCAAATTTAATGCAGAAACAATTCAATGGAGAAGATAAACGACGGTGATACACCGTTGTTTAGTGAAGCTACCGAAGAAGTGACAGAAGTATACATTTTGAAATTTAGTATTCAAAAATTTTATATTCAAATTTTATATTTTATATTTTATAATTTGGTATTCAAAAAAAAGTTTTATACAACTTTTAATTTATAAAAACTAACAAATGCTAATTATAATGAAATGCATTCATTACTTAAATATATTCCAAGATTTTTAATTATAATTAATTTATGTTTAAAAATTTCTAATTGCAATTAATTTCAATGAGAATAAATAAACATAAACCATAATAATCGTTGTGAAATTTGAGGAGAAACAAGAACAAAAGGAATCAAATGAGGAAAATAGATGGAATTTTAGTAGTAATAGTACCCAAAGATCTAAAAAGGAATCGAGTAAAGAAAATAAAAGAAATTTCGACATTGATGATACCCAAAGATCTAATAAGAAGGAATCGAGTAAGGAAAATAGGAGAAATTTCAACAATGATAGTACTCAAAGATCTATTACACAAAAACTAATAAATGCAGGAATACAGAAGAATGAAATAATGGCTGGAAAGAAGATTATAAAGCTTAAACAAAATGAGGTTAATATATTTATAATTTAAGAAATTGTTTTTCAAAATTATCATAAAAAATTTGATAACTTCAAAATTTTTAGGGTTAGTACAATTTAATTTTTTTAAGAGCTGTAATAATAATAATAAAATTATAGCTTTGCATATTTTATTAAATTATAACTATACCTTACATATTTTTGGGCGATATGAATAAGATTAGAAAATAAATTAATAAAATAAAATGTGTAACTCAAAAGTGTAACTCAAAAATCGAATCACCAAACAATTTTACTTGAAAAAGATTGTTTCATAAAAATTCATACTATGGTACCTTTTAAGGATTATAAGGTTTACTGCTTCTTTGAGTAACCCTGTGTGTGAGTTAATTTTGAATAAAATATTTGTAATCCTAAAATTGTAATGGTACCATAGAATTTGAAATTTTTGTGAAATAGAAAATTCATCATACTATGATAGATTTTTGAAACAGAAATTAAGGAATTAAAATTAATAATAAATCATAGAATTTTTTTTTGCTTTTTCAGAATATCATGATCGATTCGCCCAATGAATCAAGTCAATCTTCAGATGTGAATTTAGCACGTAGCTTCGACAACACTGAAATTAAAACTATGCGTGAAATTCCTCTAAACAAATTGCTAAATTTGAAAAAAGTAATTGAAAAAGAATCGAAAATAATAATTCCTTCTAATGTTTAAAAAAAATAATCTCCGATTTATATGAAAAAGACAATAATTATAGGATGTTATCATTAAGATATAATAATAATTTAGTGTTTCACGTTTGCAAAATGCAATCCACGTGAAAACGTTTGCGAAATGCAATCCATGTAAAGACGCTTGAAAATGCAACTCACGTGAAAACGCTGCAAAATGCAATCCACGTGAAAACGTGAAATACTTGATTATCATATCTTAATGATAATATCCTATAATTATTGTCTTTTTCACACAAATTGGAAAGTATTTTTTGAATTCCTTAATGGAAACGTTGAAATTTTTTAATCTATATGTTATAATTTATTTAACTGATTTTTTTTAACATACATCATAAAGCTATTTTGAAATGTTCACATTTTCTTTTTGATAATTATTTCTTCTTGATAATTAAGTTAGTTTTAAAACGAAATGTCACGTACGTGTTAAATCAAATTTGCATTTACATTCTCTCTTTGTTAAAAACAACACTACTTTGAAGTAAATTTGAGTCATTTCAATTAAATTTGAACCATTTCAATTAAATTTGAACCATTTCAATTAAATTTAAACCATTTCAATTAAATCTGAACCATTTCAATTAAATCTGAACTATTTCAACTAAATATGAACCAATTTTTTAATTCATATGATATGATTTATTATAAATTTGAACAAATTGGTATGGATATAAGCTAATGAACAATCAATAGATATATATATATATATTAATTGGTCATTTATTAACTAAATTTTAGCCTACAAAGTTAATAAATAATTTTGTTAAAATAATCATTATATGGATTTGCTAAAATTACTATAATATAAGCTAATGACCAATTGATATATGTATTATAATAATCCATTGTGGTATTATCACATTTTGTAGCATCATCTTAATTTGATTAATGATATCAAATTTTGTTTATTATTTAAAGGATATGAACATGATGGGAAGGAATAAATCACAAATTATCATTCCGATTAAATCGAATATCAATATTGCGGAAGATGAAATGGCGCAATCATCCACTGGTAATTCTGAAGAGGCTGAAAACAAAAAATGATATTATCAATCATATTCACTTTTTGATTTTATATTTAATTAAAATTGAATTTAATCCTAATTTCTAACAATGTTTCATTAATCAGAACAATTTTAATATAATTGAAATTTGTCACTTATTTTTTTCTTCGATTTAATTTTGCTAAAAGATATTCCTAAAAATGATTGAAACATTTTTTAAAGATTTCTGTTAACTTTTTAGAAATAAATTTAATACCTAATTTTATTCACTCTCAATATATTACACAAATAATATGTTAGCATTTGTATTAGAAAACTTTTTTGTTTGATAAATTGAAATATTATCTATCGATCGTAGCAGAAATAAAGCCTTAAATATGATTGAAAATATTGCACTTCACTTTATTTAATCCGGTTTGTTTTTGTCCGGTTCGATTTACATTTGATGTGTACTGGCATCAAAGCTATAAAATAACTCATCTTTTTCGTTTAATACTGTAATCACTTAATTCTCCTAAATTTATTAATTAAGCACAAATTAAAAAAGTGATTGGATGCGTTTTTCTTGTTGATTCACTTCGGCAATATTTCATTTTATATGAATTTTTAAATTTTATTTTTTCAATAAATTGTTCTGCTTAAAATTACAAGCTTGATAATGATGTCTTAAGACAAAAAGGGATATTTTAAATCATTTCATTATTTTAGAAAATAATTTAATTAACTAATTAAGTTCAATCGTATAAAAATATAATTGAACTAATAGTTATTTCTTTTTTTTTTTGAACTAATAATTAGTTCACTTAAAATTAGTTATTCAATTTTTTATTATTTCATTACTGATTCTTTTTTTTACTCATTTCAATTTCAAACTTTTTGTCATTGCTGAAATATCAACTAATTCATATTAAATATGAATATTAAATTCAATTTCTTGAATATTAAATTCAATTCAATTTTCTAAATATTTAATTCAAGGCTTTTCTAGCAGTCTCATTGACACTGAGAAGAAAAATTATTTATGCTAAAAAATATTTTATTTTAATTTTAATTTTATTAGAATAGTTTATCCAATATTTTTCTATTAAAAATTTTATTTGAATAATTTTAATATTTTATTACATTATTTGAATAATTATTTTAAATAATATTCTACTTTATTTTTAGGCAAAAATATTTTCGTTGAATAATTTTAGGTGAAAAATTGTATGAACATTGTTAGATCTTTAAATATTTAATATTTACTTTAATTATTTCTATTTATTTATTCCGCCTAACCTATTATATTTATATATATATATTATCTTATTGTTAATAGAAGCATCGAAAGAACAATGGGCGCTTTTGTTCATTGTCGAAATGATGATAATAGTGACTGGCAATATTAAAATATAATTAGCGGTGAAATCAATGAAGACGTTTGAAGAGTATATGTAAAGTAATTCAGGAAATAAATTGTGTAATATGAAGCAAACCGTATGATAGTTTTTATCAATCGATTTAAAAATAAAAATTGAAATAAACTTAAATTAATTATTTAAAATAAAGGTACATGTTTATATAGCATTGTATAATTTAATTATTAATTTATTCGTTCATATTCATAATTGATTATCAATATCACGGAAAAATGTCCTTTCTGAAATTTCCTCCCATAATTCAATATGTTTATTTTGTGGCGATAAGGTTTGCAAATGTTGATCATCAGATTCCTCTAAAATCATATTGATTAATATATGCTTAATACGAGCATGAAAATACTACATTGATACAACAAACAACGTTATTTAAAATACACACCATACAAATGAATAGATTATCGATTTACTTAATATATTTCGATGACGAGTTGAAAATTACTTTATTGTTAACTGTTAATTGATTAAGAAATAGTATTATCACTACTGTTAAAATCACTATTAACTTGTTGCTTTTATATTTGATTAATTGAATTTAAAGGGATTTCTTTGAATCGTCGAAAAAATCATGTCAATTAATTATCAATTAGTCGAAGATCCCTTTAATAGTTATCACTACGTTAGAATGATCATTCAAAATGTTAAAGGAATTGATATATGAGAACGAACGATCATTCAGGATGATATCTCGAATTAATATGTCAATGATCATTCAAGATGACATGCCGAAAGAATGTGTAAAGAATAATCATTTAGGATGACATCTCGATGTGAACGATCATTCATTCATAATGATATCCGGAGGGAATTATATGAGCGATCATTCAATATCCCAGCAAATATCACTCTCCCTTATTCCCAATCAAAAATCCACGTCTTCAAAAGTGACAAGTAATAACATATTCATCTCGTATATCCCCTAAATTTAATATTTTGTTGTTGATGACAACAAACCTTGTTGATACATGAGATTGTGACGTGGTTGATGCATTAGTTGTTGCTGTTGTTGTTGTTGTTGTTGCTGTTTTTGTTGTTGTTGTTGTTGTTGTTGTTGTTGTTGTTTTAATAAACTGTTTTCTTAATAATAAATAATTTTTTGATCAATTAATTATTAAATTTATAATTTGTAAACTTATATATTTGATTCATTATCTATTGGCTATAAGTAACTTTTCAAACATCTAATTTATTAAAAATTTTTGCTACTTTTTATCATTTTTATCATTTCTAGTTATCAGTACTGCAATACTGTATGCATTTAAAATAAAATATCAAAAATGATGCTAATCATAACTAATAAACGTAAAAGTTTGATAATAATCTGTGATAATGGATAATGATAACAACCACTACTATCAAAATAAGATTATAATCATCAAAAAATTCCTTAAACGATTATTTTAAATTTAAAAACTGCACATTTTTGAGATTTGAAATTATCAAATTATATGTAAAAATGTAATAAAGATAAAATAGACAAAGCAATGAATGCCAATTAAATGATTACGACTGCACACGATAATAAGTATTGATAAGTATGATTTACAACGAAAAGTTACTATCAATTATCATAATCATTATCGCATGCAGAATTATTCATAAAACACTTCAAAAGCTAAAAAGAACATAATCGTCTTACTGTTTGTTGGTATTTCAGAGTCTGAATGGTGATAAGACAGTTGAATATCAGTTTGTTGTTCTGATGAATTATCCAATAACGAAGACGACTGCAACTTTTTAATTAAAACAGGCAAATTAAAAAATTATCATAAAATTAATTCTAAAAATTATTACTTGTGTATAACTTCAAAATAAATAATAGTTATTACTTTTGCATGAAGACAAAAGAACAATTCGTAGTTTTCAACAACAAATATCATATATATGTATATGAATATTATTGTATTGACTTCAAATTTTGCTACTAATATATATTATAGGATTTAACCATTAATAGCGTATAATTTATACAAACTGTGAATTTGCAAATTTTAAAATATAAAACAGATGTGCGAAAAGAATTAAATTATTATACAATTTTATTGATTCCCTTTCATGAATAATAAATTTTAGAATTTGATTCCTTTTCCATAAACAATGAATTTTAGAATTTGATTTGATAATTTTAAAATTTTGATTGATAAGAATTTGGTAGATAATTTTTCCATGAACAATAAATTTTAGAATTTGATTTAATATTTTTTCCATGAACGATGAATTTTAGAATTTGATTTGATAATTTTAGAATTTTGATTGATAAGTTTGAAAAGATTTCGTAATTATTGCCAAAGATTAATCCTTAATCGAAAATAATCTTAAGATTTTCTCTTAAGGTTTTAAAGATTTCACGTAAGCTCAAATTTTGCACGAACGATAATTTTTGAAATTTCACGTAATTGGAATGACTAAAAACATTGTAACGTAAAAGCAACAAAACGATTATTAAATAATGAAAGATTTTTATTTTAAATTAAAAAAATTAATTAAATTAATCAGTTTAAATTTAAAATTTATTATTCATGAAAGGAAATAATTTTTTAAGAAATTGATAAATTGAAATTTATTGAAAACATTAATTACAACTAAAATAATTATATTATTTCATATAAATGTTATCATTTATTGCTTAATTATTATATTCATTTCAAAAATTGTGCTAATAATTTAGAAAACATGCGAAAAAAACTGAAATATTAATTTTTTACAATTATGATATTTTTAGTCTTTTACGGAAAAAGATATATAAACTTATAAATTTTTTTAGGTAAGAAGTTACAGTAAAAACTTTTCAGGTAAAAGCACCACTGTGTTAAACTTTCATGTAGGAAAATAAAGATGATTATTAAAATCTTTGAATCGTATATTCAAATCATTCAGAAGAAATTTTAAAAGAAAAATTATTAAGCTAATGCTGTAAGCTTAAGATGATAATCGTATGTATTGATAGGTTAACTTATATAATTAATTAATTATTGAGTTAAAGCAAAAACAAAACTTATCTATTAAAAATGAAAATTAGAGCAAGCTAGCCTAATATATTACCAAATCAATTTTTCTTACTTTAATTAAAAACTTTATTAAAATACTTTTTTTTCTTGATCTTTGATATCATTATCAATTGCTGGCATGCTATCAGGTTTTTTTGATAATGGTATATCCGAAAACGAAATGGATTCAGATGTTAAATCTGTCGTTTCATCATCCTTAGTTGAATTGATACTGTTTTCCTCAATGCTGCTTTCTAAATCTGTGGTACTTTCTTGTTCAGTTTCAACTCCACTGCTTTTTTCCTTCAGTTTCGGATCGATCAATGACGTTTGCAATTTCACGTCTCTAGCACAATCCGGCGACATGGTAGAAGTTTTGGTTGATTTGACTGGTTCAGAATATTTAGTTTGTTTTTCAGTTCCCTGAATATTTGGAATATTTCAATTTCTGATTTTTAATTGTTGATACTTTTCATTGAACGGTGACAGTTAATTTAACAAAGTCTCTTAAATTTAAGCCAAATTCTTAACTAAAACTTTTTCACGTTCAAATGAATTAATTAATAAATCTAACAGTAGTTCCTGATCGAATGGTCTTGAAAGATTCCATCGATGATGATCCATCTGAATCTCTCTTGTGTATCTGATTGGTTTGTTTTTCACGTTGCGATTTCTTGTAACAGTAAACATTTGATAAACTATTGAACTCATCAAAATTATTAATTATTCTTCATAACTAAAGAAATTATCCAAAATTCCGGATTTTTCATCGAAGTTCGAAATCCCAATACTTCATAAAATGTAAATAATTCATAAAACTTAAGTGAATTACTGTTAATTTAGGATTGAGTGGTAATTTATGATGTTGAACGAGAAAATATGATGAATTTGAGGATATCGGTGAACTTGATGATTTTGATCGATTTTGCTTGGAACCAATTTTTCGCTTCTTCCAAATAAAATCTGATGAAATATCCAAACTTGAACTTGATGTGTCATTTGTTTGTGTAATTTTTATCTTCTGCTTAGCATTAACAGTATCATAATCCTTCTTCTGAAATTGATTTCTCTCAAATTCTCAAGCTCAAAAGATTCCAAGTTTAATCTTTACTAAAAAACTAAACTTTAGTCTTTTTATCAAATTATTTTTTCTTCACAAATTATTAACAAAATTTTTTATAACCTTTGATATCGTGCGATACGGAATGGTTGCATCGAAGCATTTATTACTTTTCTTTTTTATATTTTCATTCTTATCATTTTTATCACCACTATCATCATTTGAAGAGGATGATTTACTTGATGAATTAAGGTAATGATGACGCTGAGAATTACGAAAAAGTTCTTGTAGTTTGAAAATTTGTGATTGTAAACTGAAAAATATAAATAAATATTTGTACATTAATTTTTTATTCCAAATTAATAAAGATCAGCGACTGCAAAAATTTCCTCTCATTAATTTGGTAAAAACTACGGAATCTGCTTAATTCATTTCCCGGTATTTCCCAATATTCAATACATACTCATGTCTTGTATCATTTAATTGCCAATATTCTGCATCATATACATCAATAGTTTTTTGAAGATTTGCTAAGTTATCTTCAGTTTGGCTGATTTGTACTCTCAATGATTCATAACTATTCATTTGAGAATATAATTCTTGGCGTAATTCGATTCGTTTTAAAACAAATTTTTCGGCTATAATTCTATACTTCTCTTCATCAGCTATCTCCACCTGAAATTAATCGATTGATGTTTGGAAAAAAGAAAAGGTAATAAATGAATCAACCTGAAGAGCTTTTCGTTCTGCAATAGCTGTTGACAACAAAATATCAAATAATTCTCGATTTACGAATGCCATTTCATCCAAAATTATTGCCCAATTAGCAGCATCAAAATTCTTCAGAAAGCAATCATTAATATTTTGCATGTCAAAGTTCATTGTTATGAAAATTAGTTCTCAGAAGATATTTAATCAGTTGCATTTGCAAAGTTTTCAAGTAATTAATTGCGTCCTCCTAAAGGATAATACAATTTTCAAAATAATTCCAAATTTCTTTTTGGACAAATTAATTTTTTAAAAACCCTTCTTTAGGTTGAAAAATAACTGAAAAGAAGAGACCTGCTCAGAAATTAATTTTGAAATTTTTGTTAACTGTTCTGAATAGCGTTTTTTTCGACGATCAATTTCAGCATTAAACGTTTCACAATTAATACATAAAACATCCAATTCTTTAAGTCTAAATATTCCGCAACTATTTTACTTGATAAAGCGATACATAAACGATGTATTAAAATAGGAAATTCAATTTTGTAGTAGATATATTTTAGTGTTAAAATAATCATAGTGGAAATAATAAATGAATCATACGGAAAAGATTTCACTGTACAAGCGATCAATTGTGAATAAGTAATTATTTTTTTATCTTACAACTTCTAATCATTATTTTTGATAATCAAATCTTAACGACAAAAATATTAAATGATAGTGGAAAAAAATTGAATTAAATTAATTACTTGAAATGGTTGTTTACATTCGTTAAATTTTTGTTTAAATTTTTCCGAAAATCTAACAAAAATTAAAGATTGAAAAAATTGTCTTAAATTTTTCCATCTTAAAGTTTAATAATTAATGATACCTTTGTTGAAAATTATCAATACTAATTTTCAGTTGGCAATTTTCGCTATTAGTTTCTTGCCAGATATTCAATTCGCTAATTATTTCTTCCTTAAGTGCTCGTATCATTCCAGCAAGACGTTTTGCTATTATGCATTCCTGAACGTCATCGTTGTTTTCGATCGCTATTGCTAAAATTTTCAGATCATTCAAAATTTATACATAGATTTCAACATTTTTCTTTAAATTGATTACTGCGAAAAAGTTTTTAAAACGGTGAAAACAAAAGATTTCTAATGATCTCAAAAAAATTCGTCATTTCTAAAAATTTGTCATCACTGAACAATTAATTCACTTACACTTCCCAGCAACATTAGCAAAATACATTGCTTGATGTAACCGTATGAAATTGACAAAAATGATAAAATGATTGATTAAAATAATTTTTCTCCTTTTTATCTAAATTTCTTTTATCTAGAATTAGCATAGGTTAGTCGAAACTAAATTAAATTTGTTTAACCTTAAAATATTTGAATCTATTAATTTAAAATAATATCTACGATCATTTCTTGCCAAAAAATGAATGAAATGGATGATGAAAGATGCAAAATGCAGCAAAGAATTGCGACATAATCAATCATCCATTATGCGACATAAAGTGAATTTCTTTCCGAAAAATGAATGAAAGACGCAAAACGCAGCAAAGAATTGCGACATAATCAATCATCCATCATGCGACATAAAGTGAATTTCTTTCCGAAAAATGAATGAAATGGATGAAAGACGCAAAACGCAGCAAAGAATTGCGACATAGTCAATCATCCATCATGCGACATAAAGTGAATTTCTTTCCGAAAAATGAATGAAATGGATGAAAGACGCAAAACGCAGCAAAGAATTGCGACATAATCAATCATTCATTATGCGACATAAAGTGAATGGAGCCCATTTCTTTCCAAAAAAAAAAAATGGATGAAAGAAGCAAAATGCAAAGAGTTGCGACATAATCCGTTATGCGACATAAAATGAATCGAGTAATTATGTCACGCAAATTACGTTATATAACGTAAAATGATTATGCATAGAGAAAATAGGACAAATTTTAATTGTTTAAAATAAATTTATGTGAAATTTATTAATTTGAAATATTCTAACCAAAATTATTATTAATTTCAGATATTTTCAAAAACTATTACCAAAAACGAATTAAAATGTTTTTAATAAAAATTTCAATTAATTAATTTTCAACATCCGATATATAATAAATTCAAGAAAGAATTTTTACAGATGATTGATAAAAAAGAAAAAAAATTGACCCTGTCAGAAATTGAGTAAATTACATATTTTCCGGTTGGATGATATGCTTCACGAATGATGTAGATAAGAGTAGAAAGAAACAAAGGATCCTTTCAACCATATATGGACAAGCCAAAGATCACACATAACCCTTTTTAACGTAGTCATACCAATGGCGATAGCTTTAGTAGAAAGAATTGATGGGAAAAAAGGACCGTCTCAACCGTATATGGACAAGCCAAAGATCACACATGACCCTTATTAACGTAGTCATACCAATGGCGATAGTCTTAGTACAAAGAACTGATAGGAAACAAAGGATCGTTTCAACCATATATGGACAAGCCAACGATCTACACATAACCTTTATTAACGTAGTCATACCAATGGCGATAGTCTTAGTAGAAAAAATTGATGGGAAAAAAGGATCGTCTCAACCGTATATGGACAAGCCAAAGATCACACATAACCCTTATTAACATAGTCATACCAATGGCGATAGTCTTAGTAGAAAGAACTGATAGGAAACAAAGGATCGTTTCAACTATATATGGACAAGCCAACGATCCACACATAACCCTTATTAACATAGTCATACCAACGGCGATAGCCGTAGAGACAAAGAGCGCTGTATGATCAAAGGGTACTTACTTAGTACTTAACATTTGCAAAGAGTTGGCGAACGAAGTACTATCCTTTGGGGACAAAACAAGCAAAATGAACAAAAGGTTAGCTTAATGTATGGGACAATTTAACACATTTATGAATAATCTTTCTGATATGAATTGAAAAGTAATAAATTTCTAAAATGAAATATTGCATTTCGGAATTGCTTTCAATTATTGCACGTATATTTATTCAATCCTATTTTCTCGTTTTCTTGCATTTTGGAATTGCTTTTAATTATTGCACGCTTTTGTTTATGCATTTCTTCCAAATCACTTATTATTGATGCATGCATTTTACATAATTTAACTAATTGCATGCTTTTTTTGTATTACCTGGATATGCATACTACGTGCATTTTCAGTTTATTCCACTAATATATGTTTAGGAGAGAAAGTCATATAAAAACAGGTAGTTCGGCTGTTCATTTTCATTTTACAAAATAAAACCATATTTATTGGGAAGAAATTTAAATTTAAAACTATTTCACCTAAAAGTAAACTTACCAAGAAGTAGTTACCGGAAATGATACAGAAATGACTGTATCACTAATTTCGGCGCTAAAATAACTTGGAATGTTAATTAATTAATTAATTTATTTACCTAATTTATTTACCTAATCGGCAAAAAAAAGCAAAATAAGTTTTACAGAGAAAGAATTTTCATTTTAATAGTGAAATTTTAAAAATATTTATTTTTATTTCAATACATTTTAAAGACCGAAAAGAAAAACGGAAAGGAAAGAAATGATCAAAATATTTTAGGAAATTCACAAAAAATTTGTGTCTTTTCGTTTGGCAAAAAATTAAAGTTCCAATACAAATAGATAGAAGTTCCAATACAACTAATAGAAATTTCAATTCCAATTATTAATTATTACTATTATTACTGCTATTAATTATTACTATTTTTACTATTATTAAATGTTGTATTATTATTATTATTAATTATTACTATTATTACTGCTATTAATTATTACTATTTTTACTATTATTAAATATTGTATTATTACTATTATTAATTATTACTATTATTACTGCTATTAATTATTACTATTTTTACTATTATTAAATATTGTATTATTACTATTATTAATTATTACTTTTATTACTATTATTAATTATTATATTATTACTATTATTAATTATTGTTATTATTACTATTATTAATTATTATTATTACTTAATTCATATTTTTACTCAATTACTATTATTAATTAATTCATAGTTATATTCAAAGATTACATTCATATCATTTCAAACAATTTTTGAATGAAATGAAAATAAATTAAGAATTTATCATAACATTCGGTCATTCTATATTATTTTGCAATCACTGAGCAGTCGCCAAAAATATTTTTCGTTGATATGAGGTAAATTATTGATGATTATCATTAAATTATAATTCCTAATTAATATAATTAAATTAGTTTTTGTTTTTAAATATGAGGTAAATGAGGTAAATTATTGATGATTATCATTAAATTATAATTTCTAATAATTTCTTCTTCTATATTAAATTATTAATTTTTTCTGCGATATGAAGTAAATTATTGATGATTATCATTAAATTATAATTCCTAATTAATATAATTAAATTAGTTTTTGTTTTGAAATATAATTTCAAAATTTTAGTTATTGGAATGCATTTATGTTAACAACACGTGAATGGATTGTCGTACTTTATGCTATTATAATTGTATTTATGATTATTTCAATGGCTACTTTAACCATTTGCGTTGTGCGCAATTGTTGCTATGTCATTTCCACTGGTGATGAAGAGGTTAAAAACAATAATGAGATTATTTATTTTCCTTTCTAATTAATAATTAACAAATTATTTTGCAATTTTAATTTAATTTTCTTAATTTTTTTTTTTGAGTTAGATAATGAATCAGATGGAAAGAATTAGAACTAGAATTAAATAATTAATTAGAACTTAAAAGTGCATTATCGATAATTCTTATGGAATCATCTAATTCTAATTTTTTTATCTAATTTATTACCTAATTCTAATTCTTTTATCTAATTCACTAATTGTAATTCTTTTACTTAATTCATTATCCAATTCTAATTCTTTTATCTAATTCACTATCTAATTCTAATTCTTTTATCTGATTCTAATTTTTTATCTAATTCTAATTCTTTTATCTAATTCACTAATTGTAATTCTTTTACTTAATTCATTATCTAATTCTAATTCTTTTATCTAATTCACTACCTAATTCTAATTTTTTTATTTAATTCATTATCTAATTCTAATTCTTTTACCTAATTCATTATCTAATTCTAATTCTTTTACCTAATTCATTATCTAATTCTAATTCTTTTACCTAATTCATTATCTAATTCTAATTCTTTATCTGATTCTAATTTTTTTTTTCTAATTCTAATTCTTTCATCTAACTCACTATCTAATTGTAATTCTTTTATTTAATTCATTATCTAATTCCAATTTTTCTATTTAATTCATTTCCTAATTCCAGTTTTTTCATCTAACTCATTATCTAATTCTAATTTTAATTCCTTTCGTCTAATTCATTATTCTAATTCTTTTCCTATTTAGCAAAAAGCATAGCTTAAAACGAAGAAAAATTGTTCTTCAACTTCAATAATTACCTCTTTCCTATTATCTTATCATCATAAATTCTTTCAATCAATAAATTACTATTAATAATTTGCAAGCGCATCTTATTATTATTCCCGCCTTATTTGTATTTTCTGGAATATATTTCTGCAGATTAGTTGCGCTAATGGACGAATTAGTGCTAACGAATTGACCCGAAATCGAAATACCAATAGAAATTTTATATCAAATACTGTACGCGCTTTTCTCTTTCTCTTTATTTCACAAAATAATAAATTCCTAGAGAGCATTGAATTAGTGAGCGGTTTTTAGAATGCTAAAAGAGATATTACCATATCGGCACCACAACAAGTACCATTCACCGGTCAATCATTTCATACCGGAAATTCGGATATAAATCGAATTGATGAAAAGTGTCCAATACATGGCCAAAAAAAATGTATACATTCAATTCTCTTTATTTATTTATTTTTATTATCAAACTGTTAAATTCAAAACAAAAGTTGTAATTTTATTAAAATTGAAAGATCAGGAAAAAAAATGTTATAATTATTCTTTAAAACTTATCAATGATTAGAGAG